TATAAATAATTAAAAACACACAATCCGTCCACGGTTATGCCCTGAAGCCTCTGGTTCCTTGGTTCCAAAACATTTTGATTTGTATAAACATTTGCAACCCTTTATTTATAATCCATTGTGCGTCTCTCCGCGTATAAATCTGCTCTTCTCCAGCTCCATTGCAGTCTTTTTCCAATATCCCACATGTTTCATCTTGGCTATATGCCTGTTCCTGAACTCGTTTCATCTGGTTTTATCCTGAACGACTTTCTCAATCTGTGGGTCTTGCCAAATTTTTTCCATAAGACAAACTCTCACTTGCTCGTTGTCCATAACAATTCACCCTGTGTTACATATTATGACCTTTGTCCACCTTGTGTTCCGTTTTCACGGAAAACAGCACATTTATGGTATCTTCTATATCAGCTTGCAAATTGAATTCTTAAACTCTGTACTATCACTTACTGTCCTCACTGTAATTTTATATTTTTGTACATTTGATCATGCGCACAAGCATGCTTCACGGGCTTCGTGAAATATACCATTATTATTATTATTAACTTACATGAAGGGAAGAGAACATTTTGGGGCTGAGCTAAGGAAACTGCTCAAGGCACAACGGATCTAAGCAGTCCCGAATGTGGTGGTTATTGAAAACATCTTAGAGCATCTCAAGTTAGTAAACGAAACCCAGATGGAATCAAATAATGCCGCAACCGGCCAGCCAATATTGTCATCGGGACCAGCATACGTTTTCAAGCTCCCCGAGCTGGAGGAAGCGGTGGTCGAAGTAGCAGCTGGCACCATAGATCAGCCAAAAAACGGACTGCCTACCCGGGTGTTACGCCCGAAGAAAAACTTCGAGTGAACAAACACCATTCATTAGGGGATAGGAAAGCATTGGTACTAACGCACGCCAATGCATGTAGTATTAGGATAAGTGGGGAGAGCTGGCCACAGTGGCTGCGGGGACAAGGGCTGAGGTGATTGTCCTGTCTGAACCGTGGCTGACGCAAGAAGAACACATACCCGAACCATTTTTGAGCCAGTTCACAGTCCACAGACAGGACAGGAAAAGGGGGTACACTGGGAGCTGGTGGTGTAGCAGTCCTAGTCAAATAGCGTATACTCCATCACGAAGAAAATATAGCGCAGTGCACCCAAAATGTTTAGGTGTGCTCAATTTCGTTGATTCTACCTTCGAGGAGGGTTAGCATAGCAGGAGTCTAAAGAAGCCCAGAATGCACACTCGAGGAGGACCAGGCACTTCTATGCATCCTAGATAGCTTGTATAGACACTCACAGAGTTTTTATATGGGGAGATTTCTATTTCCCAAAAATCGATTGGTAGGTTTAGTGGGCACCAACAGAAGCACCGGAGAGAGCATTCTTAGAATGGATGCACTCGAGGGCCCTACAGCAGCATGTCCGGGAGTGCACTAGGTCCAGAGATGGGGATAGGCCATCTCTACTGGACCTACTAGTTACAACGAGGGAGACAGGTTTGACAAACACCACCCTCCATCCACCGCTGGG